CACACACACACACACACACACACACACACACACACACACACACACACACACACACACACACACACACACACACACACACACACACACACACACACACACACACACACACACACATACACACACACACACACACACACACACACACACACACACACACACACACACACACACACACATACACACACACACACACACACACACACACACACACACACACACACACACACACACACACACACACACACACACACACACACACACACACACACACACACACACACTAGTAGACAAAGAGATATATGGAGCTCACTATTAAATTCTCTCCCATCCCTTGATAAGCAAAATCACTTTTGAACAATAAATTCTGTTCTTAAATTGGTTTATCCAGTTGTTATGCGTTTTATCCTTTCCCTCCGTTCATTTTTTTTCCATTTGCGAATTTCATTTGATAAATTACGTGACGTTAAACGAGTTTTACTTTCACTGGAATTTCTGTGTTGGGTTAAAAGTTTACATCTGTCGGTACGTTTTTAAGAGGATTCATGCGTTCACTGTACGCACATGAGAGCATTCCCTGCCTGCACATGTTGGCTCGCAGTCTGAGTGTGACAGTCGTAGCTATGACATGTGTCATTTGTGTGTGTGTGTGTGTGTGTGTGTGTGTGTGTTTTCCCACGCGTTTATTGAGGTTTAGAGCATGTCGTCAGCACTACGCATGCAGCCCAGCCGCCCACATAGCTAGCCACACAGCCACCGACAGGTAGCCACCCAAACAGCTACCCAGTTATCTACTCGTATCTGTGTTCACACACTCACACACGCTGAATGATTCAACGAAACATGAATTCTCCCGTTACGAATTAAGCTGCGGTCGACCCCATGTTTCGGTGGCGAGTGACTGTGGAAATCCAGACCGCTCCGCTCTTCGCCCTGGATCAGGTGCAAGTCTGGTCAATTCACGACTACCGTGGCCCTCATGACGACCAACACACAGCCGCCGAATAAAAGCCACAGGTGTAATACAACTTGGGGTGGGAGGGGGTGATGGTGGTTGTAGGGGGTGGGGGTAGAGGTCGGGTGGGAGAAGTGAAGGGGGGTTGGAGGGGTGGGGGAATAGATGTGGGGGGGGGGGTGGGTGGTGATATGCAGAAAAAATAAATAAAACACTGTCGAAATCATCTACTCGTTCATGGGTTTGAAAACGTTGATGGTAATCAGTAAAATTGTGTATATGTGGGTAATTGGTCCAGCGGCACTTAGTGGTAATCGACCTTAGCTGTGTAATGCACATACCTATTTCTAATGGGCCTGAAACTCATAGAACCCATTTATATAGGTTCCAGTTCTAGCAGACCTTTATATCTAATGGGTTCTAGTATCAATCGGTTTTAGATTTAATCGACCCCAGTCTTAATAGACCCCATATCTATTGGGTCCTAGTCCTAATAGAACCCAGAGCTAATGGGCCCCAAGCCTACTAGACCCTAAGATAATCCTAGCGTAATTATATGACTGAGATTCACTTCTAATGGAACCCAAACTTAAGGAACCTCAATCCTAATGGCTGGATATATCATGTTAGGTCTATCATATCTGAGAACCATCATGAAAAAATACAAAAATATACGATAATAATTGAACAAAAAAAACGAAAATAAACGATACTAATTGCAAAAAATTAACATCACGAAAATAGACGAAAATAAATTTAAACAAAATAAATAACCTCGTGAAATAAGTAAAAATATATGAAACATTCTCAATAATTATTAAAAAAATGGAGGAAAATAAATGGTACAGGTTCAATAATTACGAAAGGAAGATAAGATCATTAGCTATCGTTCAACTAATTATGGGGAAAAGATTCAAATATGTAGAACAAATTCTATAATTCGCAAAGTAAAAAAAAAAACACGAAATTAAAAAAAAAAGCCTTCGATAATTAAGGTAAAGGGGTAAAAATGTTTGTTACAGATTTTAGTTACAAATTTTGGTGCAGATTTTTGGTGCAGACATCGGTTTCAGATTTTGGGTGCAGATTTTAAGTACAGATTTTTGGTACAGATTTTAGGTACAGATTTTTGGTGCAGATTTTTGGTGTAGACATCGGTTTCAGATTTTGGGTACAGATTTTAAGTACAGATTTTAGGTACAGATTTTTGGATACATAATTTGGGGCAGATTTTTGGTACAGATTTTGGTGTGGATTTTAGGATAGATTTTGGTGCAGGTTTGGGTACAGATTTTGAAGAAAAAAAATTAATGGACAGATATCAAGGGATTAAACTCGACTACATTATAATTATTAAAATAAAAAATAATAATATTAACTGTGAAAAAAGAAATCCTTCCTTTAGGCTTTCATTTAACATTTAAATAATAAATGTAAACGATAAATCAGGAAATATTACCTAATGGAAACAACCCGTAGCATAGCATAGCACAGTATAGTATAGCATAGTATAGCATAGCATAGCATAGCATAGTATAGCATAGCATAGTATAGCATAATAGAGCACAGTATAGTATAGCATAGTATAGCATAGCATAGCATAGCATAGTATAGCATAGCATAGCATAGTATAGCATAATATAGCATAGCATAGTATAGCATAATATAGCATAGTATAGTATAGCATAGCATAGTATAGCATAATATAGCATAGCATAGCATAGCATAGTATAGTATAGTATAAACAATCAGGTACAACAGAGTGTAAGGTAACGATCAGGAGCAAAAAATTTGCAATTTAACCCATCAGGAGCAAAAAGGTAACAATTTAACCCTATCCGGAGCAAAAATGTATCAATTTACCCCGTTGGAAGCAAAAAAGTAGCAATTTAACCCCAACAGGAGAAAAAAAGTAACAATTTAGCCCATTAGGAGTAAAAAGTAGCAATTTAATCTTTCACGAGTAAAAAAGTAACAATTTAGCCCACCAGGTAGCTCCGTAGACGCTGTTCCCTCTGGCCTCCTGGACCATTAGAGCGACCTATAATAGTTACTTGGTAAGGCGGTTCAGTTAAGGTTAGTGGAGAGTGAGAGAACCAGGGAGGAGGGGACATGCCACTTGTCTGCCTTTCTTCCTTTCCTTTTCTCTGTCACATACTGTTTGCTGCCCCTCCTCTGCCACGTACCGCCTGCCATTTCTCTGCACGTACCGCCTGCCATTTCTGCCACATGCCGCCTGCCAATTCTCTACCCACATCCGCTGCCAATTCTCTGCCACACCCCTGCCAATTCTCTGCCACGTACCGCCTGCCAATTCTCTGCCACGTACCGCCTGCCAATTCTCTGCCACGTACCGCCTGCCAATTCTCTGCCACGTACCGTCTGCCAATTCTCTGCCACGTACAGCTGCCACCGCTAAATACCGTATTATCTCCCTCACTAAGTCACACCTCGCCATCTCCGACCTGCCGCTTCACCCAAGTAGAGGTGTGGGAGAGCAGACAGGTGTGGGGAGAGTGTGGGGGGTGGTGGGTATGGGGGAGGGTAGTGGGGAGGGTGGGAGGAGGGGGTGAGGTTGTGGGGGAGGGGGTGAGGGGTGGGATGGTGGGGAGGTGGTGAAGAAGCTGGAAGGGTGTGGGGATGTTGGGAGGTTGTGGGGGATGGTGGACAGGTGTGGGGTCAGTAGGAAGGTGGGGAAGTGGGGTGGTAGGGTGGGCAGGTGTGTGGACGATGGCAGCTGTGGGCACGATGGCAGGTGTGGGGACGATGGCAGGTGTGGGGACGATGGCAGGTGTGGGGACGATGGCAGGTGTGGGGACGATGGCAGGTGTGGGGACGATGGCGATGGTGTGGGGATGATGGCAGGTCGATGGCAGGTGTGGGGATGATGGCAGGTGTGGCAGGTGTGTGGACGATGGCAGGTGTGGATGATGGCAGGTGTGGGGATGATGGCAGGTGTGTGGGATGTGTGGGGATGATGGCAGGTGTGGGGATGATGGCGGTGATGATGGCAGGTGTGGACGATGGTGTGGGGATGATGGGGTGTGGATGATGGCAGGTGTGGGGATGATGGCAGGTGTGGGGATGGCAGGTGTGGGGACGATGGCGGTTGTGGGACGATGGCGGTATGGGGCTGATGGCAGAGCAGGGGATGGGGGGTAAGTAAATGAACAGTAAAGTTGGGGAGGAAAGGAAGCTGGGGAGGATGGGTTAGATGGGGGCGATAGTGTAGGTTGGAAGGATAGGGTAGGTGGGGGGGGGATGGGGAGGATGGTGTAGATGGGAGGATGGGGAGGAGAGGGTAGGTGGGGAGGATGGTGCGGAGGATATGCTAGATAGGGAGATTGGTGTAGGTGGGGAGGATAGGGTAGGTGGGGAGGATAGTTTAGTTGGGGAGGATAGCAATATAATCATGTCCATCACTGTATTTATTTTCTCTTTGATAATTCCTTGAGAACGGTGACCTAATCTTTTGAGTACGATGGCTTAACACCTTGAGTACGATGACTTGAGTACGATATTACCCTTTTGAGTACAATAACTTAAGCATTTGAGTACGATGTCATTCCTCGAGTACCATGACATAGACCTCATGGCCTGAAACAGACAGACAGACAGACAGACAGACAGACGGGCCCATAGAATAACTACAAAAAAGCAATCACTTAATCTAGGCATCGAACCCCTGAACATATCGACCCTGCCAGCCAGCATGCCACTTAACACGACACATGTCACACACAGTTGTCCTCAATGAAAAAAATACGCCACTCATTTCTCTCTCACTCGCACACAATATTCGCAGTGATGTAAGGACTCAGGGTTAAATAATGTACCTTTTAAATAACACAAGACAACTCTTTCTCTTTAATATTATCTATGAGCCAATTATATTTTCAATTAAGCTGGTAATTAATGTATAAAAAATAATTATACATAACCCTCTAATGCACACACACTATTGTATAATCCTTCAACAAGTTTCTAGTGCGGTATAAAGGTTGTATGAATGTATTAGTGTATGACAAGAATACAACCACTAACTTACCTTATTATTCAAAGCAGCTTCGTCTGTCAGTGAGGCTCTTGAGCTTGTATCAATCTTACACAAACTGTACTTGGTTATATTATCAGATATATACTTAAATATATCGATATATTCCCCTCTGGATTATCACTTCACATTATAACTATAGTGATTCACAAACTCTATAACAACTAGAGTATAATGGAGCATAATATTCCGGGATGAGGGAAGCAACGCCTCAATACCTTCCTGCAGGCGACGCACAGATAGTTACCGACGGAGGTTTATACTGAGAGGGCATTTTTTAGACCACCATTTGTTTGTACACATTCGCTGGAAAGTCGTGGAGCCCAAGATACACCTCCGCCCCTCACGATGGCTAGGCCCGCACTGAGGATCTCCGCGACCGCCCGCCCAGCATCCAACACCCCCGCCCTGCCTCCCTCAACACCCTCCCTTCCTCCAGCTCTCTCGCTCTCTGCCTCGCTTCATCTCTCTCTCTCTCTCTCTCTATTCTTCTCTATCTCTTTTTCTCTTGCTCTTTTTCTTGTTCATTCTTTGTTGCTGTATATTTCATCTTTTGTGTTTTACAGTCATCATTTTTATTCCATCTTAGAAGCTTTATCGTTTGCATTTTGTGCTCTCTCTCTCTCTCTCTCTCTCTCTCTCTCTCTCTCTCTCTCTCTCTCTCTCTCTCTCTCTCTCTCTCTCTTTTTTAACCTGTTTCCACTCTTTTTATCCTTCACACTTTTATTTGTTTACAAGAATAAATTTGTTACACTTTTTTTCTTCTCTTTTTAACCATATTTACTCTTCACCCCTTTTTTACTCTTTCACCCTTCCATTACTTTTTAATATCTCTATTTTCTGGACCCTTTATAATTATTCCAACTATTATTATCATTTTCTCCTCTCCTCTCTTCGCTCACCACAACAACTAGATGAGGTAATGAGCGGAGTGTTATTTACCCCTCATGTTCTAGGTATTATGATTTTAACTCAGGGTCACGTAATAATTATTTAGGTTAAGGGGAAGAATAATAAACATCACTTTGTCTATGTCGATATTGTGAGGCGTATATTGTGAGTTATGAGTATATTGTGAGGCGTATATTGTGAGTTATGTCGATATTGTGAGGCGTATATTGTGAGTTATGTAGATATTATGAGGCGTATTTTGTGAGTTCTGTCTATATTGTGAGCTACATTATTATTATTATTATTATTATTATTATTATTATTATTATTATTATTAACCAATACATTAATAAGTTTTAAGTATACGGAATTAGTGACAATTTAACAGACATCGTAACAGATCTCACTAATCCAGGAAGATATCGTTATTCCATGTAATAAATTTTTTCCCCAACGAGTGTCAAGAAAATGCATTGTGTTGTTTCATTGATGTCCCGAGTGAGGGCGTCACAGGTCCCCTCAGATCAACCTGGCTGGTTTATTTATTATTATAATTGACGTCCTGTCGTTCACCACCCACCCCACAGTCACTCTTTGTTTATATATGTAGTGCAGACAGACAGACAGACAGACAGACAGCCTGACAGACAGACAGACTATTATAATCATCGTGTGGAGGTTAATATATATGGAACACTTAAACACTTACAGATGACAATACCTTCCCTCCTGGTCGATACAGAAGTAGTCAGAACTGATTGAAAAATATTTGTATACACTCAGAATAGAATGAATATTGTGTATTGAAAGCATTCCAAATTCCCCCTTTTTTTTCCCAGGTTTTTTAGCAAATAATTATTAATGGTACAGTAACACAGTAGAAGTGTAAATGTGCTTTGTGTACAAAAGCGTTTTGTTGGTGGTTGTTGCAGGTTAATGATTGTTCATTCAGTCGCTGCAATCTCGGTCAGTCCAGCCTGGTGATGTTATATCTACAAGTTGATTAAAATTTATGGCAGAAATGACGAAATTCTGCGTTGCTTTGTTTGTGTGACTGTTGTGTTGGTGTACAGTATGTGTGTTGTGTTGGTGTACAGTATGTGTGTTGTGTTGGTGTACAGTATGTGTGTTGTGTTGGTGTACAGTATGTGTGTTGTGTTGGTGTACAGTATGTGTGTTGTGTTGGTGTACAGTATGTGTGTTGTGTTGGTGTACAGTATGTGTGTTGTGTTGGTGTACCAGTATGTGTGTTGTGTTGATTATGCAGTATGTGTGTTGTGTTGGTGTACAGTATGTGTGTTATGTTGGTGTACAGTATGTGTGTGTGTGTTGGTGTACAGTATGCCTTCATTTGTGTTGGTGCTTACCACAGTATGTGTGTTGTGTTAGTTGTACAGTATGTGTATTTGTGTGGTGTACAGTATGTGTGTGTTGTGTTGGTGTACAGTATGTGTGTTGTGTTGGTGTACAGTATGTGGCCTTTGTGTTGGTGTACAGTATGTGTGTTGTGTTGGTGTACAGTATGTGTGTTGTGTTGGTGTACAGTATGTGTGTTGTGTTGGTGTACAGTATGTGTGTTGTGTTGGTGTACAGTATGTGTGTTGTGTTGGTGTACAGTATGTGTGTTGTGTTGGTGTACAGTATGTGTGTTGTGTTGGTGTACAGTATGTGTGTTGTGTTGGTGTACAGTATGTGTGTTGTGTTGGTGTACAGTATGTGTGTTGTGTTGGTGTACAGTATGTCCATTTGTATTCTGGTATATTTTGGTTATATTATGTGGTGTATAGAGTAGTCTTGTGTTATCTGGTGTTGTTTTGTAAGAGCCTAACCTACACCCAACATAACCTACACCCAACATAACCTACACCCAACATAACCTACACATCATCTAGACTATACCCAACCTACCCCGCACAAACCTACCATAACCTAACCTAACCTCACCAAACCTAACCTAACCAACCTAACCTAACCTAACCTAACCTAACCAAACCAAACTTTAACTTAACAAAAAACAAAAAATTGAGGGCTTGAATACTCTTGTCCGTGTCCCGTGTCATTGTCTGGTGTCCGTGTCCATGTCCGTGTCCGTGTCTGGTGTCCGTGTCCGTGTCTGTTGTCCGTGTCCGTGTCCGTGTCTGGTGTCCGTGTCCGTGTCTGTGTCCGTGTCGTGTCCGTGTATCCCGTGTCTGGTGTCGTGTCCGTGTCCGTGTCCGTGTCTGGTGTCCGTGTCCGTGTCCGTGTCTGAGTCTTGTTATTGTGAAGAATAAACTAAAATTCATCTTTATTATTATGAACTGAGGTTTTATTCCTCTCCTCTGAAGTCTTAGGGAAAATAAATTCCTTTTTTTTTTCGTGAGTATTAAATTTAATTATATTCAAGTCAGGTTCTCCATCATTTGAATACTATAACTCCATTTGCGGTGTGTGTGTGTGTGTGTGTGTGTGTGTGTGTGTGTGTGTGTGTGTGTGTGTGTGTCCCAGCTCCACACAGCCAGAACAGGTTTTCTGGGAGAGTTGTGGGGGAATTAGAATGTATATGAACTCGTTTCTATGAGCATATGTGGCTCTCTATGTAGATATATGTACACGTAACAGTATATCCTACACCTTACATGTGTATCCCAGCTCCACCACACCGCCAGGCCGCAGGTGTGGTGGCAGAGTTGTGTGTGTGGGCAGCGGGGAAGGACCTACCACTTGGTACACGAAGGCTAAATCCCGTAGGAGATTATGCCACTACAATTCTCCTTAGCGCCCCACCTCGTCATGCTCCGCCGCTGGTAACCATCCTCATGCTTGCTCTCTGCTCTCGTGAACATTAATTTGCGACCTAGTTCACCCACCTGAGCACCGCGATTGAGTACCGCTGTCGGTGGTCGAGGGGAAGTGGGGTGTGGTGGAGGGGGGATGTGTGGTGGAGGGGGGATGTGTGGTGGAGGGGTGTGGTGGAGGGGAGGTGGAGGATGGAGGAAGTGGGGGTGTGTGGTGGGTGGGGTGTGGTGGAGAGGTGTGTGGTTGGAGGGGTGTGGTGGAGATGGTCGAGAGTAGGTGGGGTGGAGGTTATGAGGGAGGAGGAGCCATTATGAGGGAGAATAGGAAAGAGCTGACTGAGGGAAAGAAGGTAGGGGAAAAAAGGGCTTATGGGAGAGTTTTTGTCTCCTGGGAGAAGCTTGTGGGAGACGTTTGTAGGAGAAGAAAGACTTAGTAGGAGACGATCGAAGGAGGGAGGGAGAGGAAGGGAGGGGATCAGGACCACAAGGGAGTATATCTTCCCCGGGGGTTAAGGGAGAGGAAGAAGCCTTTTCGGAGCCAATCACGTGTCAGTTGAGCCTCAGGGAGTAAACACCACGACTGACGAGAGAGAGAGAGAGAGAGAGAGAGAGAGAGAGAGAGAGAGAGAGAGAGAGAATTATTAATCAAAGCACTGAAACAAGATTGGTGAATGCTGACAGAAAATGAGAGCTGTACACGGGCAGAGAGAGAGAGAGAGAGAAAGAAAGAGAGAGAGAGAAAGAAAATTCAGAATTAAAATAAAGATAAGACACTTTTAAAAGCCTTGAAGGGTGTAACAAGCCCTGCGCTCCACCACTACCACGATGACACAATTCTTGAGATAAATTTAACGTTTGAAAGCTTGGATGTCATCTGAAATATTCTCAGGTAATAATTTAAAAGATCATTTCATGGCGTTCAGAGGTTAGGTGTGTGTGTGAGTGTGTGTGTGTACGCACTCACACACACACACACTCATATATGTAAAGTGTGTCTCAAAAGCCTGTGTGTAGTTCTTTACATCAAACACCAGGTATAAGATGTTGTCATATCTTGCCACTCAGTACTCTCTCTCTCTCTCTCTCTCTCTCTCTCTCTCTCTCTCTCTCTCTCTCTCTCTCTCTCTCTCTCTCTCGTTTATTATCCAGATTTTACTCTAAGGTTCTTTCGGCTTAGGTTAGGTTAGGTTAGGTTAGGTTAGGTTACAACTCCCACCAAAACAAAATCTCCAAATACCTCTCTCATCCGTCTCTCTTCCTCCCATAATCCATATTTTTTTTTACCCATAATCCTTCGTTTCTTCTATTCTCTCTATGTGTTTTTCCCCGGGTCGTTCCAGCTGGTCGTACAATAAGTAACGAAAACGTCATCTCTCTAGGACGGCTCACCTAGATCTCTCAAGACAGGTCGTTCATTCTCTTCCCTTCAACATCAAAGGTTCTCTCTCGTCTCCTCCTCCACCTCCTTGTTATTATTATTATTCTCATTCTCTTCATGTTACATATTCTCATTCTCGTCCTTCTATCTTTCTCCCTTATCATTGTCATTCTATTTTTCGTTCTTCTTCGTCTTCCTCATTATCATTTTCGCTCTTACTACTTCTTCTTATTCTCATTCTCTTCCACCTCATTCTGCTTCTCACTCTCCCTCTTCTCCTTCTCTTCCTCTCTCTCCTTCTTCTCCTTC